CTGTGACATTATAATGATATAACATCGTGCTATCGTAGCTTAGCATTACAAAATTTCAACTGTACGTCCTGTAATTTCAAGAGAGCATCTTAGCTCAACACGTTGCATCGTGTTGTTTTAAGTCAACAAATTGTATGGTAAACATTTCGTTTCAATATAGTGTTGTAGCATCGTGTTATCTTAACTTAACATCATATACTTTCAACTGTGCATCATGGTGTTTTAAATCAACAGATTGCATGATAGACCAATCGTAATATCACAATGATATAACATCGTACTATCTCAGCTCGACATTTATTAATAACAAGGCAGCACCATACATTTTAGCTATTCATTTTATTTGTTATCATAGCTGTCGATGTGGATGACTGAGCAGTATCAATCTGCAAGCTAACATCATGCAACGTCAACTTCACATCATGTACTTTAAACCCAACGTCACGTGTGTTTGGCATATCATCACAACATCGTGACTTATCATTATACTATCACGACTAAAGCACTTGTCATTGCAAGTCAACATTGCGCAAATTCAACTTTGCATATTGTAATTTAGAGTTAGCATTTTGGTGACTCAATTCAACATCACGCTGTCTTAACTTTACATTTTAAGCTTCAGCATAACGTTTTGTAAATCTCTAATATATGACAGCTGAGGCTTTCCTTACAATAAATTTTGCTCTCAGGTTGACCAGACCCCATTGTCAGTAATTTAATAAAATAAATATAAATTAAACAGTATAAATAACTACTAGTACGTGTAATCAAAAACAACTTAATATACTTTGAAAAATGTTGTACATTAAAAAGATTTAATATATATTTTATCAGGAAAGATTATATGGGATAAGAGTCAACGAAACAACTATTTAATAATAATAAAAAAAACTTAATGAATATTGTAATTGTCTAATGTAATTATAAATGAAAATAGATGTACATGTATCTTTGCACTTGCACACATCGTTTGAAATGTTAAACGTATTAACCCAAAAAAATATAAAGGCATTTTTGTTGTCCTTTACTTTTTATGGTTTTCTTATGTGTTACCATCTTTTCGGTCCCTTTAGATACATGTGTACATGTAAATTAAGTCGTAATTAAAATCCAATTCACCGTGGCACCTTGGACATGTGAAATCTTCAAGTTTTAACTTTCTCGCCAGGTGATTGCTGATAAGAATTAACCCTTTTTTGCTTACTAATTATAATCAGACTGATAATTAGATATGGTAATACTGTACATCAATTTATAAAGAAAAATAAATACAGTCTAATTTTTACTTATTGATGTTAAACAAAAATTGGATGCAGATGTAAAACAAACTAAAAGACTCATATTTAAGATAAAAATAATCATAATAACTTTAAATTTATAACATATTTGTTTGAAAAGTTTTGATGTATAATTGTTTCTCTTTGTATCTGAAAACATCACAACATAGAAAAAACACACTATAAAATATCAATTGAAATGGCTTAACTCTATCAAAAGACATATTAACACCAGTGAACATACACTTAACAAATAAATTTTATCTATGATACAATGCAAATACAAAATAAACAAACATGATTTGCAAGTTTTCAACTTTGATATACTGAAAGTGTGAAAGAGTAAAGGTTCCCTGGATAAATAAAAATAGTGTGTTTAAACTATATAAGATTATGATTCTATATGAGGAATAATGCACTGGAAAATATACACATTAATTTTCCGTTCCGTAAAAGCTAAAATGTCTTATCTATTGTATGTACTCTTCAGTTTATAACAATACTACAGCCTTGTCCGTTTATGAAGGGATTAACACAGTTTTAGTTGCATAGATGCAATTACTATGACCAAATGGAATGTGGTCACGTGTTTTGGCTTAAAACGAATGGTTCTATTTCTCCCAAGTTTTCTACTCTACAACTCTGTTTCAAATATATTGTCTACATCATGTGCAATCTTAAGTGCATGCTATGGGTTGCCAGTGTTTTCTTACTGATAGCGGCCATTGGTCAGATATTGTCTGTGGCTGCTCCTTTCTGGGCATTTGATGGACTCCACTATATTGGGCTGTGGAAATACGGACGATGTGCTTTTAATCATAAAAAGTGTTACAGGTATTGGCACGTGGAATATTTCGTCTCAGGTTTGTGGATAGCTATAAGCTTAACTGTTTTGGTTGAAAGTATTTTTGTTCAGTCAAATGTGTCCTTACTGTTAAAGATCCTTTTGAATATATGTATTATTTTACATTGAAATACAAAAAAAAATCGTATTTTTAAAGTAGAAGTGATTAGCAAACCATTTAATTACATGCAAGTTAAAAGAGATGAAGTTTGGCACATTATCCACTCATCCGGATACAAAAACATTTTTGAAAATCAAGAAAATTCGACGGTTACTAGTACCATATTTATACATTAGAGCGAAAACAAATCTATGTAATTAACAGAACTTCAACCAAAGATTCAAAGATTAAACTGAAAAAGCGACAAAGTTTTTAAAAAAAATTAAAGAAGAGAATTAAGGGAGGAAAAAGGTGAGCGAAGTTGTGCTTTCTGAGGACCCCCCTTTTTTTTCTCTTATTTGGAGGATGTGTACTTGAGACAGCATATACATATAAAGGGATATGATAAAACCGTTAATTAGTTCTCCGATGGCATTTGGCAATCATAACACATCTCCTTATGTTTATACCAGTCATTATGAGTTGGCCTTATATATATTGTTATGCCATGTATGTGGTATGTGTTTTCGGCTCATTGTTGACGGCCGTATGGTGACCTTTAGTTGATAACTTCTACATCATATGTTCGCTGGTGACAGTGGCCGATTCAGGGATGGGTAGAAAAAAAATTGTCCAAAAAAGATTTCGTCTCGCTCCGCTCAGCAGATTATTTAATTTTTCGAGATATACGCCCCTTCGAAAATTCTGGATCAGCCCCTAGGTGGAGAGTTGTCTCATTGGCCATCAAACCACATCTTCCTATTTTCATATTCGTTTTTATGAACGTTTATATGTCATTTTGACGAAATATAAGTGTATTCACATCATAATTCAGACTAATCAATCTAACTAATTATCAGACTTTTACACACCGGGTATCCCGTTCCGGAACCGCGGATTGACCCGAATCCTGAAGAGCAATTAATGAAATGTTTGTAAAAAGTAAACTAACAAAGATACCGAACTACAAGGAAAATCAGTAAAAATCGGAAAGTCCCTTATCAAATGGCAAAATCAAAAGCTCAAACACATCAAACGAATGGAAAACAACTGTCATATTCCTGACTTGGTACATGCATTTCCTCATGTAGAAAATGGTGGATTAAACCTGGTTTTATAGCTAGCTAAACCTCTCACTTGTATGACAGTCGCATAAAATTTCATTATATTGACAACAATGTGTGAACAAAACAAACAGACATAATCATGACATAACTGTGGGCATGGAAGTAAAATATATAATATAATACGTCAATGCTATGGGTAAGTGAAATCAGTCAGGGGCGGATTCAGCCTTTTAAAAGGGGTGTTCCCAACCCAGGATAAAAGGGGAGTTCCAACCATATGTTCCAATCAAAAGCATTGATCGTTTGATCGTAAAAAAGGGGGGGGGGGGGTCCCCCCCCCCCACCCCCCCCCCCCCCCCTGGATCCGCAATAGAATCTGGATCCGATTCCCACGGAGGAATTATCCGCGGATTTCGGATCGGGATACCTGGTTTGATTTAAAGCATATATAAACCACCCACGTCTATCCGTCGACATGGGCTTAAATCATCATCTGATCATTATTTAAAATCATCAGATCACCTTAACCAGATAACAATGTGTCAAATGGAGGATCTAAACAATAACGTTTGTCCCTATTAATGCAGAAGTTCGTATATTTGCACAGGAATGATTTATGGCGTTTGTCACAACTCGGCTAATAAAAAAAAAACACTGACCGCTTTGTCAGTTAATGGAAGCTTCAACTGCATACGAAGTTATTTTATATCATTGTAACGAGACTGGGGCCAAAAAATAACAATCTATCTATAAAGAGGATTAGATAATCTTGATTTTTTTTAATTTGTTCTTATGTTGTACTATTACCGTGACCACTGTCCCAGGTATGAGAGGTAGAGTTTGGCTCCAGCAAACTAGTTTAACCTCGCCACATTCTGTGTGTGCCTGTCACGAGTAATGAGCCTGAAATTCAGTGGTTGTCCATGTTGCCGTTTGTTGCTGTATATCATATTTGTTTTTTCGTTCATTGGCAGTTTAAGCATAAATCATGCCGTTGGTTTTTTCGTTTGATTTGTTTAAAATTTTGTCAGTTTAGGGGCTTATTATAGCTAACTATGCGGTATGGGTTTTGCTTATTGCTGAAGGCCGTATGGTCACTTATAGTTGTTAAATTATATGTCATTTGGTCTCTGGTGGAGAGTTGTCTCAACGTCTTCTAGTTTTTATGTGTCACTTTTTGGTCCTAGAAGTCTTATAAAAATAACCGATATTTGGTGATCTGTTAATTTGATATAAAAATATTCGTATACCTTTAAAGATATTCGGAATGTTCAAACTAATAATAATGACACTTCAATAATTATTTCCGATTTCAGGCATTTTACATCCATACTAAGCACCTATACATAAATTTACTGGAAGGCCAACTTTCATTTTTTAGATGATGCTTTAGAAAATAATTAAATTTGGGTTGTATATTTTAGTTTTTACAGGCTATATGTCAGGATTATTTGTATCAATTTCTGTTAACATGCATTTATACCTACTTATCAAACAGTAAAACTGTGCATACTCTATTTTTTTGAATGATCAAAAGATTGCTAATAAGGTCTGCGATTTGAGATGAATCCGCGGAAAATCAACAGTTTTCCTCGAGACCCTCCGATCTAATCTCCAAAATATATTGATATCCCTTTGAAAGTCAATATAATATATTCTTAACATTGATCTTCTCACTCCGTCAAGCAATTTTTACAGTGAAGGAATTTTAATGAACGATGTAAGAATGTCACGTGACTATTTTCACCTGTCAGGTATCCATCCATCACTTTGAAAACATTCCAATAAGCTGAATGGCAGGGAATCGTGTGATAGGAGCTGCTAGCTTACCATTAATAGGATGCATAGCATTAATAGCAGCAGCCGTGTGTCAAGTCATAGCATTTGCGTGTGCTAACTGGGGATATGATAAAACTCGAGTTGTGTATGTCGGTTTGTGGAGAGATGGAAATTGTCTCAAATCGGATCATAGAGAATGTTTCAGGCGGGATCATGTGGAATATTTTGCTGAAGGTAGGATGTAGTTCTTATACGTTCTAATGATCATGATTATCTATCAACATATAAGAAAAGCAACCAGACTTCAATCTCTGGATATATATACTACACAATATCAACTTAACACTAGTTTGTCACGGTAACAACATGCTAAGGGGACGACTATTACTATTCTTGGGGATGGATGAGGACTTTTTGCAGACGGAACATTCATATTCCCCTATTGTCATAGTTTGCTTTGCCGCTCGAAAACTTATTTTCGATTTTGTCCATAATTATTTCCTCCATTTTGTGGGGCAGATTATCCATTTTCATCCGGTCTTGGACAATACTGTTTATTTTCAGTTCCTTCCAGGCCAGGGTATACGTATTCATTTCCAAAGTCCTTCTGTTTAACAATGCAGTCTAACCCTTTTTAACCCTTAAAGCACACATGTGCACTGTCTAATGTTAAGGAGAAAACATTAATTACATTTGTATATTGTACTTCAAAATATTTCAAGTTTTGTTCCTATCTATATATAATTGAAAGACACACGAATGAAACAACATAGTTTTACCTTCCCATGTTTACTCTTTACGTAATGTATGTTTTTTAATAATCGAATAACATAGTTTATATTTTATGTATTATACTATTCACTGGAAAAAAACTGTAAAGTACTTTTAACGTTTTACTGGCCATTAAGAAGGATGCCTTTGTATTGATGTTTTGGGTGTAGAGTAAAACCGGTTACTGTATCAATACAGACCTGTGGTTATGAATTTATAATGTGACTTCTGTTTGATAAACCAAAACACCCACATCTCCCTTTAACAACCTATTGATGTGATGTTTATACATTCCTATCGTTAATTATATGTGAACAAGTACAATATATTCATAATCTGTTATTACATGAAGTTTCTATACTTTGTTATTTTGAAAACATCACATTTAAGCTATTTTACAAATAATATACCAGTTGACGATACGACCATTATGAACTTAGATCTACCAAAGATGATAAGTAGTTTCAATATTTGTATAATTATAATGTCCTCTAGGTTCTATTTTTCTTTGTCATGGTAATTTGAACATCTTTTCCCACAAAAAAAAACAATACAGTAAGTTTTTCTAGTGTAGCGAGGCATATCCAGGGGAGCCTAGGTTAATTGAGGTTCAGGAATCCGGACTTTAGTTTTTCAACCATCCTAAAATCGATGACAATCAGGTACAACTCCACTATAATTCCTAAGTATCAGCTGAATGCTAGGACTTCCCTTCTACAGTTGCTTTTCAAGACCAGCGTTTTGAATGCAACTTTGTCTAATTGTAAACAACAAAACTGTTTTAATAATATCTTCATTTTGTATCTATCGGTAAACAGGTTTTCTATAATTAGTTGAACTCCTTTATGGGGTGATATATATATGCAGCGCATTGAAATGATGATTAATAGTTAGTAAGAAATATAATAAAATCCCAAACTCGCCAATAAATTATTTTGATGCCTTTTTTCTGAATGCAAATTTTCTAAAGACAGATTTTAAAATATGTAAATTATAGGTGAAGGTTTAAAAATAAAATACGCCGGAAGCATAAAATCGGTATAATACATTGCATGCATTTACATATACGAGTTTAAATTCACTTGTCTTCTTTGCATATATATATATATATATACAAACTATTATACTTCTAAAATTTTCTTTAAAAAAACAATGTTTTGTTATTATAATTTCAAAAACCACTTCGGTTAGAGCAGTGACAAATCAAGGAAAGTCGCCGCTATTTTAAGCGCTTATCCAAATAAGGATATTGAAAATTTATTATACTATTAAATATGCACAAATTTAGCACTTTGCGACAGGCTTTAATCGAAGGGTATTATATTTATTGTCAAATTAATAAGACAAAAAATCAACCGTGAGGTATGTCAGGTCATTATTTTGTTAATTAACCCTTCTTGTCACCGCACTAGGTGGTCTTTTTGTAACATGCTTGCCTCGAGTGCGGGATGTCATGGGTTCGACCATCGCCGTATCAAATCAAAGACTTGTTTCTCCGTTACAGCAAGCGGCATTTAAGAATACGGAAAAAGATTGGGAGCCTCAGAGTCAGAATAATGCGCCCGGGTAGGGTGATGTGCACAGTCACTGGGAAGGTCGACTATCCACATATATATATATATATATATAACTCGTCTAAACAACAGCCCAACAACACTGTGTATCATCGCCACCGGAAATTGGGTACTAACGAAGCGGAGAGAAATGGAAAAAAAAGTAAACAAGGTAAGAATTCATTCAGTTTAAAGCATTTCTACTGATTTGACGTGGGTACCGCTTAAGAAATGATTTTCTGATATATAATTCTTTAAATTATTAGGCCGATAAGTACAAAATTAAGACAAGATTTTGTGTTATACTCAAGAACTTGCCACTTAGTACCTGAAAATTTCGAGGTCGATCGTCCTCTGTCGCCCCATTGGCAAGATATTCAACTGTTTTTCATTATTTTTCCAGACACTTTTTTAGATTATTATAGTGTGGTATCATATTTTCTGAAATTTGTTGTCAAAATGAACGTTTTTAAGGAATATAGACCATAAAAAATAAAGTCTAGGGTACGGCAACTTGCTCATGTTGACAAATTTACTGTATGGCAACTTGTTTTCAACTGTATGGCAACTTGCTAATTTCAAAATATTTATTTGCCGTCTTTTTAAAGAAAATAAAGTATTAGGTTCAAATATCTAATTATGCATTTGATAAAAATACAATTCGCTTGACACCATTTAAGATGTATACACAATATAAGGCTTGAACACAGTCTTATTACATCTTTTACATACACGTACCTGATGTATACAATATGAATACGGCATATACAAAAGCTGGCAAATGTTGTAACTTTCGGAAAGGCATGTCACTGTTTTACTAACCTGTTGTTCTGCCCTGACGTAGCGTTAAATGTTACCCATGTCCGTCCGACCCCTCTCTCTCGTCCGTCCAGAAAGTCCCAATAATTGGTTTCCGTTCTCTAACTTTAGTATGCCTTAACCAAATGTTTTAAAACTTACACGAAATGCTTATCACCACAAAACACAGATCAAGTTATAAATTGGGTAGCGTCACTGTTACCGTTCTTGAGTTGTGCCCTTTGATAAATGAAAAAAGCTAAAGCTGTCGTTTCTGTTCTCAAACTTTAGATTGCCTCAACCAAATGTTTTAACCATACAACATTAGTCAGCATTTGCATATAAGTGATGAACATTTCTGGGAAGGGTTGTGGGTGGAGGGAAGGAAGGAGGTAATGGCAGGAGAATTTTTCCGCATTGAATATTTAGAACCATTAAGTGAATGAATTCTCTTTCAACTTTCAGATAAAATGAAATATAAATGAATTATCATTCTCTGCACAAAAAAAATTTGTATTGCTACACCACGGCACCATGTTAAGGGAGGTTTGAGTGCTCACAAACATGCTTAAGCCCGCCTCAATATATATGTGTCTGTCCCTAGTCAGGAACATGTAATATAGCGGCTGTCGTTAGTTGCTGCCTGACATATTTGTTTATGATTTTGTCATAAATCAGGCAATTTTGATACGGTATGGGTTTTGTTCATTGTGAAGTGTATAGTAACCAATAGTTGGTCAAATCTATTTCATTTGGACTTTGTTTGAAAGTCCTCTCAGTGAAAACCATTCCACGTCTCCTTTTTCAATTAATGTTATTGTCTTATTTGTAAAAGGCAGATACAGCCAATATATTAGAATAAAGAACATTAATTTTCTAAAAAAAAAACTTCATCTCTATATAGTAAGAAATGAACAAGCTCGATGGCTAACACTGTTTAAATTTAAAAAAAATATTAACCTTAGATTAATCATTTTTGGAAAGAATGAAAGAAGAATCCGATACAAGGGATACAAATCCGGCTGTGGCTACGGCATAAACTATTTATATAAACTTTCTACATGTACTTGAGAATAAAGATGACATTGTATGAAGTTTTTTTTTGTTGTCATCTTAATATTATATACTTATTAATACAATTAACAAAAGCTAGTATCTTCGACTTGTAAGTTTAAAGAATTATAATGAAATAACAACTTATAAGGACAGGTTGAAATATTTTTGAATCCTGATGGTGCATACTCATAAATTCTTTTGGAAAAATCCACGTAAATTTAAATGTTGATTTGATAGCGTTCAATTATTTATTCGCCCTCGTAAACAGTTTTGTTAAAATACCGAAATCGGTAAAATCGGTAAGTCGGGAACACCTTTTTACATTCCGGCGTGCATAAGTTGCACTTTTTTCTTCTTATTAAGAAAAATGATTTTAATTTAAGCATCTATCTAAAGATTAGATTATTTACACACACACACACAAATAGGCTTACTGTTGATTTTGAAACTCTATGAATTCACATTTATATTCAACCAAACAGATAGACCGAGATCAGTGGCGGATCCAGAACTTTTCATAAAAGGGGGGGGGGGCTCCAGTCATGCTTCAGTGATTCCCTATATAATCAACCAAATTTTTCCCACAAAAGGGGGGGGGGGCGGGCCCCATGGCCCCCCTAGATCCGCCTATGGAGATCCTTACCTTGTTAAGTTTCAAAACAGAGAAGGTGTGTTTGAAAACAAATAATCACGTTCTGCTATATCTTTTAAGGCAAATGCAAGTCTTACTTGTATTAATTATATAATTTTAATTGGGACAATATCACATAAACAATTTACTGAGAAATATTATACATAGTAATCATGAAAATGTACTACTGTAACAATGAAAATTCGGACGAATACACTCCTTTTTCACTACCCCTCCATCTACTCCTTTAAGTTTAAGCCAAACAGCCTTAGCAACAGTCTTTTATTATTTTTTCCCTGTAAATAAAAAGATTGATTGAATTTACTCAAACTAAAAAAAAATGCAATCTTATTTTCAATAAGAAACAAGAAAATTAATTCGAAACACAATTCATGATTTATTTCTCCTAATTTTCAATGAAAACA